TACAAACAACGAGAAGTCGTCTTCGAATCTCAGTTGAACTGGATTATTAACCTGGTCCTGACCTACCCCTATCTTATCATGGATAATAATGATGGTGGCATCTCACTAAAAAATAACAGGATACTGCTGGGGAGGTTTGATCCTGGAAGAAGAACGTGGACGAGCGTAGTGCCATTACCAGATCAAACGGCTAACATGTTAGTCCCCAATGAGAAAAAAGCATCGTTATTTTTACTAAAATATACTGATGTGCCAAACTCGTGGATCAGTGTGATACAAGGTTCTACTCTTATTATCAAAGTATTTCTTGGAGATGCCTCCGGAGTAGATATAGACCTTCTGCATGGGTTAAAATTAAGCTGGCATGATCGCCATCAACAAAAACGTTGTCGTATTTGCATACAACCAGGAAGAACCCCCCACCGCAAACCTAAATAATATGATGTTTCAAAAGGATTTCATTAACCTCCAGACCATTTTTATATAGGAACACTTGTACCTCATCAGCTTAAAGTATATTCATCAAACATTGTCTGAGGACCAATTAAATACTATTTTATAAAAAGAGTATATACAGAATGGGACTGTACCCGGTCGTGGATGAAGTAGCAAAAACACTGGAAACCGTAGGCGGGTTTCGTTTGCAACAGATATGTGAGATCAAACAACAACTAGAACGTGAACGCGATACACGGTCGGCATTACAGAAAAAATATCACAGTGCTGTCAATACCGTGGACGGTGTTGACAGCGCTCTGGTTTCAGTCAGCATGGGATTAGGCGTGGCAGGTGTCGGATTATTATCCACCATCGTGGCCACACCCGTCGTGCTAGGCATCGAAATAACAGCCGGAGTGGCAGGGTTGATGGGATTGACCCTTAAGTTCGTATCTGGCAAACTGCAAAGCATAGCATTGAAACACGACGAAATTAGAATTCTAGCCGAAGCGAAGTTAAACACAATAGGCGATCATATTTCCACCGCGCTCACCAACTCTAAAATCTCTGAGGAAGAGTTTCGTTTGGTGCTATCAGAAATCGCAAAATATCACAGAATGAAACCAAAGATTCTAACCAAGTCTTGTCAAAACGCCGTCATCAGTGAAGACGAGAAAAAAAAATTCATAGAACAAGGGAAGCAACAGGCCTGACAGGCCTTCATTGCAAAAAAACAAACAAATCATAGAAGGAGATTCACAATAAATTGTTTCGCAGATATCAACATAACGTAGCCAGCCGGCCAGCCAGCTCAGCAAGCTGTAGGTGAATAGCCGAGCCGAGACACACACACACACACACACACACACACACACTGGCGACTCGCCCACAGCTCGCTCAGTACTACCGACACGGCAGCGAGGCGACCCGCGGGAACTGCCGAGAGCTGCGGTATGATTCAGTGGAAATCAACATAACGTAGCCAGCCAGCCAGTTGGTTGGGTCTACAAGCCGAGCCGAGACACACACACACACACTGTGACTAGTTCACAGCGCTCGCTTGGTGCTACCGAGTCGGGAGCTCTCACCTCGACACTTTATAACAAGTACGTAACTATGTTGGATAGTTAGCCTTTCGGTGGACAGACCCCATGCTCACTAAAAAGTGATTATTTCCTTAACTATTCAACATATTTTCATAAAATTTTGCATGCATTTCAGCAGTTGTTTACACTATAGCAGACCGGAATTTAGGACACTCTCGATTACTTCATTAGGTCAATTAAGACTTAATTACGACAATACCTTGAACATTTAGCCTTTTGCCAGACGGACCCCATGCTCACTTAACAGTCAATATTTACCAATCCGTTGCACCGATTTTCGTGAAATTTTGCATGTACCTCCACCAGTAGTATACACAATGGTGGAACGGGATTAGGGACTTACCAAGGCCTTAATTTGAAAAAGGCCTTAATTTGAAAAATTAAGGCCTTGGGAAGGACCTGGTCTCATTCCACCATTGTGTATACTACTAGTGTATTACTTTCAGCCTCTCATGTCCAGCAGGGCACTGTCCTGTGAAAGTTGTAGCAATTTTTCTTGAATTTATTGTTCAATAAGAAACTCAATTTCTATTTGTTCTACATTCCACTACCATCACGTGACAAAAAGTATGTAAAAATATGAAAGAAGCATTATAACTGAAAATGTATGCATCAGGACAGATCGATCTCGCAGTTTCATTCATAAACCCCACCTCAATGAAAATACCAAATATGTACAACAGTATTAAGATATGTATGACATCTCTTGCATAGAAGACTGCCTTTCTTATGCCTCAAGCTTCAGCATCAAGATTTTCAGAAGTGCATGGCATCTTTCTTGAAAGATCCACCCAGAGTCACAATTAGAACCAACCAGAGTTCTTTGTCAAAAGGGGCGGTGGGGTAGCCTAGTGGTTAAAGCGTTGGCTCGTCACGCCGAAGACCCGGGTTCGATTCCCCACATGGGCACAATGTGTTAAGCCCATTTCTGGTGTCCCCCGCCGTGATATTGCTGGAATATTGCTAAAAGCGGCTTAAAACTAAACTCAGTCAGTCAGTCAGTCTTTGTCAAAATCAATAGTCATATCCTTAGCTTCATGGAGGACAGTCTGAGCGAGACTATGTTGAACTATAATAATAAGCAACCAACTGCAATCCAACCAATTTACACTCTGGAGCCGTTTCTGCTTGTTATGAGTGTTTCATTGATTATAGTGACACTGTGAAGAATGTCAATGAAAACAGTTCCAAAATGACCTTTCATGGGCATCCTTAAAAATGCAACAAAATGATGTCAACCGTGTACACCACCATCTGACATATACTGAAAGCCATTAGAAACGCATCACTGATAGATTAGCATATTTCTGAGGTGCGTTTTGGCATCCAAGAAATCTTTAGAGAATGATGTGATAAGTAACCATTTAAGAAGAGAATGAAATGCGCTATGAACTTGCACTGCATTTATTGACCAAGGCAACGTGGGTTAAACAGGCGGGGTTCAATCAAAAGTTCACACAGGTAAACAGCAAGAAGGAAGACAACGTCAGTATCGCGTGTGTCCACCATCAGCATCAATAACAGCCACACACCTCCTCCTGAGAGAAAAGATTACCCTCCAGCTGCTCAAGTTGAGAGGCGGCGCCATATTGGCAATTCTCCTCCCCATCTCATCCCAGACATGCTCGATGGGTGCCAAATCAGGGGACAGCGATGGCCATTGCATGACATTGATGTTGTTCTGTCACAGGAAGTCCATGGTATGCCTGCGGTATGGGGTCTGGCGTTATCTTGTTGCAGAGTGTGCAGACGTTGATGGGTCATCATGTGAGGGACAACGATAGGCCTTAAAACGTCCTGCGTGCATGTTTGGGTGGTAACATGGCCTCGAAAGACTTGCAAGGGGGTCCTGTCAAACACACTGATCTCGCCCCAAATCATCAAACTTCCTCCGCCCTAGCAATTAGCCTCCAAAACACAGCAATTGGCGTAACGCTCACCGCGTCTACGCCACACACGCAAACGTCCATCAACGTGACTGAGGTGGAATCTGGATTCGTCGGTAAACAGGACTCCTGCCCACTCTCTGTGTGTCCACCTGCGATGATGTCTACACCAAGGGAGATGTGCCTGACGATGTCTACATGTCAGAATTGGACCAACATGAGGTCGACGTGCACGTAGCCTCTCTCACGTAAACAACGTCTCACAGTTTGAGGACTAACTCTCCCCCTTCTCCCACGGATTGCTGAAGCTATCCTCACTGCTGGCTGGAACTGGTTCCTCAAATGGGTGACCTGGATGTAGTGGTCTTGATATGGGGTTGTGACGCGTGGTTGTCCCAGAAGTTGACAGTCACGTGTGCTGCCTGTTTGTTGAAGACGCTGGGAGAGTCTAACAGTTGTCGACATGTGACAGTCGAACTGTCTGGCCACTGCACGGGTGGATAATCCAGCATTAAGCAAACCCACTGCTCGCTCTCTCTGAACGGCCGATAATCGAGGCATCGTTACAAATTCAGTAATGGAATTAAAGACCAAAAAACCATGTGATTCTTACAGGAAATTGTCAAACTTTAACCCTGCTAAAATTTCGGATCAATTGGGTCATCTTTCCATGACAATTCGTGGTTATGTGATCATCATGTGTCACGGGATCACCTGCGTGCATGCTGCTCTCACTTTGCATGCTTTTCAGGTGACATGGTTAGTTGATTCACACAACAGTTTGGGTTCGGACCATTCACGTCAGTAAAACTTATATCATCAGAATGGGTGATGCGTTTCTAATGGCTTTCAGTATACGTACCTACCACCTGTCTTCAGTCCTCGGCTTGTGCATGTGTAACAACTGATATGTGTCCAAGTAGAAAATATCAATTGTCAAGAGACCCATCTTTAAATTTAATAAACAACTCGCCTCACTATGGTCCATGCAGCTAAAATGACCTATTCTGTATCTGTGCCATATAGTTATTAAATATACTTTCAATAGATCAATTTTGAGACCCATAAGTGAAAGATTGTCTTGAAAAAAGCCCCTAAAAAATGGAACTTTGCTTTGCTTATGTTGATCAGATAATAGGATTTTAGTGTTAGCTTTTCATTCTCAGTATTTATATGGGAAGAAAAATTAAATATCATGTTGTTGATGTTTAAAGCTTTTGATTCATGTAAAGGTGCCGCGTCCGTCCGTGCACATTTGTCTTTTCCGGAGCATAACTCTAAAACTGTTCAATATTTCTTCACCAAACTTGCTAGGCAGAGTGCTGTGATGCTAATTTTGGAAATCTTAACAGATAAAAATATGTAATATCTGCAGCATGGAAATAACAAGAGTTTTGTGTATTGTGAATGCAAAGTGTGGAAAACATTTTTTCCTCAGTTATTTGTATCAGCTATAGTTTCTGTAAAGCGCCACAGGCAACATCCACTTGAAAGACTTTCTGCCCTGTGTATGTTTTAATTTCTTGCATCTTCTTCCTTAAATATCTTTTGTATACTGTATTATTTTCAGATTGAAAAGTCAATTCAACGAATAATGAATGGCACAAAGAATTCAATGTACACAACATATCAGAGCATAGAGAACAAAGTTGGGGGAGTCAGTGGCTGGAAAGACCTACTTCAAGCAGTTGGTTTTCGTTTTGAGCCAGCAGGAAATGGATTACCTCCAGCAGTTTTCTTTCCTCAGTCAGATACAGGAGATCGACTAGCACAGGCCAGCACCAACCTCCAGGCACTATTAGGTATGAATGCTTAGTATGTGTCATGTTTTATTTTTTTCAAGCTTTGTTGAAAATGTCATTTTGTCTCCTCTTTGGCCATATATAACATATAATGTTTCATCTACCTTGTCAACCTTAAAATGAGTTACTGTCTTGAAAGCAGTATGGCAAATTTCAGGCAGTACAATAATTACTCCTCCCTTTGTATCATCTCATTTCATGGTATATGTTTTTACATGACAGCCATTGAGAGTATCACGGATATACAGCAATCAGTGGTTTGCAGTTTTCTCATGTTGGTTTAGTTATTCAATCTAAAACTGGATTATAAATCCAGGTCTTATGAAGTGAATTGACACAACAGGTCAGTTGAGTAGCAAACACCATTGATCAAATGATAACACTCGACTGATTAATCACTTATCTTGCCCAGTGGTTTTGTCAAAAGTTATTTATGTAGGATTACCAAAGCAAATGGAATACAACTTATCTTGGCGTGAAGTACCTATGCAAAATGGATTAGCTGATAATACATTGATTGATTGCTCATTGTTATCCAACATAGACATGGACCTTATGAACACAGTTGCCATTTGTTATCTCAGCTGTACAACTGATAAAAAACAAATTTGAATCTTTTTTGCTTAATATTGGGCATCTGTCCTTTATGAAGATTCACATTTGCTTTTACAAGTTTTGACAGAATGGCGGCTTTGAAGTCTCATGGAACCCCGTAATCACGTGACTGGATGGTAGAATTTAATAATTAAACAAGACTTACCTGTAAGTTGAAGTTTGATTGGAATTCTACCAGCCAGTCAGTATTGCTGAGGGGTAACATGCCTGCCCAGAGTTCCCTCCCATGATCTTTATACATGGGGGACCAATCTGTCAAAACTTTCCTTTAAAGTCTGGTCTATGCATGCGCAGTTTGCAATCTCATGTTACCCCTTATCACTACTGACTGGCTGGTAGAATTCCAATCAAGCTTCAACTTACAGGTAAGTCTCGTTTAATTATTAGATTATGCCACGAGGGAGGAAAATATTTGGTTGTCCTAATGTCATCAAATATATTGAGTAGTGTTTCCAACTTGAATCGAAGCGTTCGAAGTACTCCTGTTGGTGTCAGGTGGAGATGGAGTGACCTCCATATCCAGAGAACCAAAGGAGTTATGGACCTTGACGGAGACCTCTAAAGGAGAGGTGGCCTTTAGTTTTGGTTTTGGCTGCTGCTCATGCTGCTTTATTCTCTGTAGTTTCTTTTCTTTCCTTTTTTGCGCACAGTTTCTGTTTCTAGCTTTGGCATTGGTTCTGGTGTTTGTGATTCAGAAGTTTTGACTTTTGGTTTTGGAGATGAAGTGTATGAGAAGATTTGACCCATGTGAGATCGGTCTGACACGAGATAGTTGCAGTAGTGATGTAAGGACGGGAGACAGCAGACAGCGTAGGTGATGGTTGAAGGGGATACAGTTAACTTGCAACCCTCTTCTTAACTTCATGAAAGGAGACATTTTCTTTGTGTTTGATCTTTAGGATATAGACTAGATTCTGTCACCAGTTTTCAAACGAGTTGATGATTTCATGTTTGGTCAGTTGCCACTGCTTTGGGGCCTGATTTTCAGCCATGATTTGCAACACTCACAAAGTTATGTGCACTTCCAATGAATACGCTGAAAACATCTTGGAATACACTTGTTTGTGCAGGGTTGCTCACTGATGGTGTAGATATGAGGGTAAAAGATGCCACTTGAATCCTGTTTGTCAGATTATTGACGTGAGTAAGAATGCCACTGCCATCACACCAATCTCTCAAACACCATGCAATTTATTCAGCAACCATGACAAGAAGAAGGTCCAAAACTAGGAATGGTGAATTATACCTTTCGTACAAAGAAAAGGAAGCGAACCCAGATTGTTTGTGATGGCGCAGGAATTAAAAACCTATTACAATTTGTTACACCATAGACATTGTTGACAGTTTTATGTTAAGTTTGAATATGTTTATAAGTAATATATATATTCTTGTCACAATATGACTGAAATATTTCTCATGTGATGGTATATTTGGACTAATTCACCTTATAACATTTTATTGCTTGTCGTAAGAGGTGACTAACAGGATCGAGTGTTCAGGCTTGCTGACTTGGTTGACACATGTCACTGTATTCCAATTGCGTTTATCAATTCTCATGCTGTTGTTCACTGGATTGTGTGGTCCAGACTCGATTATTTACAGATCGCCGCCATATTGCTGGAATATTACTGAGTGCAGTGTTAAACAACAACCCAAATCAATGGTGCTACTGCAGCAAAACCATTATGTTGTTATACCACAACTTATTGACCTGATTTGTAGAACAATTATTTTTTTTATCAAGCAAAAGATGAAGGCTTATAAAGTTTTTATGTTTACAGGTCTCCCTCCCAGCTCCCTGACTGCCCTGTCCAAGTTCATCACCAACAGCCAGGTTGGGGAAGCTCTCATCACTGTTGTAAGTGTTTCAGTCTTACTGCACAGTGCATTGCCCATTGTATGACCACACTGAAATTTAACAGTTTTTAATTGTTCCCTGAAAACTTGTTAAATGCCTGAACAGCTGATTTTTTTTACATGGATGGCAATTACTCTACCTTATCAGGAATATGGGTGTGGAATGAAAAATATGACATACCTGGTCATGGTCATATTAGCTTTGATATGCTTTGATGTCTTTTTATGACTTACATGTCCTGTTTTCACAATGCAATGAGTTTTGAGCTGAAAACGTTGTCCTTCCTGAATCAAGTGAAGGTGTCTCTAAATTTTCTCACATAAGCACTTATTATTTTCCATAGCAAGGACAAATATTACATGCTCTATATTAAATTATTTTACATGTGATATGTATTTCCTGACGTATTTGCCATGGAAATCATGTAAACAATTGAAATGTGAATCTCTACTCTTACAATTTATAAAGCTGATAAGTTTTTGTATGTATGATTCTTTATTTAAAATATGAGGTACAAAATTCACTCAAAAGCTTATAACACTGATGAAGGCAGTCTCTTTTTTAGAAAATACCCCATTTGATGATATATGTAACTCTATTTTGAACCTGAATGGAGCAATTCTATGTAATTTGAAAAACAATTATTTGCTCTCAAATTCTTCCCATCACATAAGAACGACTGACCATCAATTTATGATTCACATGACACTTTACATTTGTCAAAGTTAAAATTCACTGATTGGACATGAGTTGATTGATAAGTTCAATAAAACTTTCATTGAAAGATTTGTAAGACTGTGTAAAAGTGAAATAAGTTGTTGTGGATATTACCTCATGTCATAGAGAAACAGGCGAGTCAAATGAGCTAATTATTGTGCTGTGACAACTTTGCAAAATAAACAGACATCATGCCATGCCAAGTGATTGGAGTGCCATGATTAAGGAATCACCCCTCTAACAGTTCGAGCAACAATAAGCTGATAGTCAGCAGTTATATACTGTATATATCTGTCTATAAGCCAAACTTTGAGGAGAAAAAAAGCATTTAAGTTCTAAGTTGTTTTTGCTGGGAATTGTATTATTTACAGGGATTAAGATTACCGTGTGTATTTGAGCCGGAAATAGCAATCAGCTGTGCACACATTTCCCGGTGATCAAGTTCAAACATGCACAATATTTATCAATAATATAACGGGATGAATTCTGACGCAGTCATCAGTAAAATATAATAAAGAGTACTATTATTTAACCCAAAGAAATATATCCTAGCATTGTGTAATTTTGATTTTTTGCTCTATAAATGTAAAATATATATAATCAACAGTAAGGTTATACGGAATTTCATGAACGTGGTAAGCGGAAGTTGTACGCACATGGAATCGGGTAAAATACGGAAGCCATTTAACTTCACACATTTTTACCGATGTTACTGTAAACTAGAAGTCAATGAAAAACGAGGCAGTAATCAGTTCGTGATTGTTGAATGGGGTAAAATAAGCAAGCCAGTTTGTTGACATGTAATCGTCCAGCTACAATAAGTATGATATTTAGCGAAACAAAATATATTATCCATTTTCTGTCAACTACACTTCATTTTGATGCGTGAGTAGATGCAATATGATTGTGAATTCTTTGAATAATGTGGACCAAAGTTATAATTATTGGTAACTGCCAGTTGTCTGTGGTCTGTGTTTGCCAGGATTAGGACCCCATCGTGGGGGATCGGCTTATGCACGAAGCATACCATTTTGACACTGATTTTAAGGGTCAAGTTTGGGGGTTGGCTTATCTATGGGGTCGGCTTATAGACGGTAATATACAGTATACAAAATAGAAAGATATCCTGACTCTTGATGTTTCTCAAGGACTAAGAGCAAAACCGTCATATCCTTTTCCATATATTTTAATGTTAATGTTGAAATACATCATGGTTTGGGCATGTCATCTACCTTGTATACCAGCAACAACATTGGCTGCCATTGATAGTAGTGCCGAGTAACTGTGTGGAAGGTCAAGATCAGCTACATGCAAGGGAGGGATGAAGTGGCATTTACTTAGAGTTTGTATTTACTTGGGGTAAATGATAACTGACTCATAACACTTACACACTGAAATAATTAAAAAAAAATTATTAATGAAGTTTGATGAAGAAATGAATTCATTCAGTATTCTTTTCACTATTTCTACAGCCTTTCACCCCCATAATAGGAGATGACATGCAATAAAATCAAAACATATTTCATTGGACTCTGCCTGGAAGGTTATTGGTCTTCTTTTCGGACAGCAATGTGTTTTAAACTCATGTTTACAACTAGCCAATATTGGGAATACTTTAAATTTTTCCTTATCCTGACTCATGCTTAATTGCTTGTCTCTTTCTTCTTGCGAATGATAGTGGAACACTTGAATCCCCTTTTGAAGCTCCCTTAAAAAAAGCAGACGCGTAAAATCACTCACCCAGTGTTATCTCCCTTGTGACTCTTTTGGCGGGAAAACCATGTCACATGTTCAGACATGCCCCTCACTCTCTCCTTCTTCGCCCTTGAGGACGGTTGTGAGAGCTCCTGGGTCCCCTATACGGCGTTATATCCTTTAAACTTTTAGGTCTTGCTACTAAATTAGCTGTATACGGTTTTAGGATTGATATACCAATAATATGGTTTGAAATTTCATCAAAATTATCTGTATTTGTTCACGTTGTTGACATGTGTTTTCATCGTGTTTATTTTTTATGAAATCTTGCACTCGTTGCAGACTCTGATTGTCATTTGCTGATCCTAATTGTACTTCTCCATGTTCTTCTAGCTTTCGCTGTCAATTTTGTCAGCATTTAACTGAAGTTGAACTTAATAACTATTTATATTCCATTTTTAGGCGTGCCAAGGACAGGGGTAGATGACTTTCACAAGTCATGTCTAAACCAAATGATTGCGTTGATAACCGTTTGTTGTTGCCTACTGACATTTACCATTCTAGTAGTTTACCGGCTGCATCTACGGAGCAGGTCGCTGTGTCTGATGGCAGCTCCGGCTCTAAGAAGAGGTCATCTACATCAACTATAACCTCATCGCAGTCGAAGAAGACAAAGTCGTCTACCAAGACTCCGGCAAAGTCTTCGCATGGGGCAGCGCTTAAGACGAGGTCTTTTGCTACAGAGATCATCCCAGCAGATGAAGTAGACATTTATGATGAGCCACCCATCCTCATCCCTGAAGTGCTAGTGAGGAAGAAGACGAGGTCTTCATCTACAGCAACAGCAGCAGTCATCACAACGCAGACATAAGATAGTGATGGCAGTTCGTCACAAGTGATGCAGTCCTGGGGAGAAGCCTCGACACTCTCAGATGCATCGTCCGCAGTGCAGCAGCAGCAGCAGTCGTTGTCGCAGAGCTTCAACCCTGGGGTCTTCATGCAGCAGTTTACACAGCAGATGATGAGCGAAGATTCCATCTACATCGAAAGCAGCCTGCAGATCACAGCCCACCGATGACAGCAGCCTGCACGAAGGCGGAAGCATGCGCGAAGGCGGAGGTATGCGCGAAGGCAGAAGCATGCGCGAAGGAGGAAGCCTGCGTGAAGATGGAAGCATTCGTGAAGGAGGAAGCATGCACAAAAGCACTCACGAAGGAGGAAGCCTGCGCGAAGGTGGAAGCATTCACGAAGGAGGAAGCATGCGCGAAGGAGGAAGCATGCGCAAATGATCGCACACTCTACGATGTACTAGGACACCTTCACCACAGGAGCATTCGTGAAGGAACAGAACCAGACATTCACCGGAGCATCGCAGATCATCCTCCTCTGATATGGACAGCCATCAGGAGCATTCGCACAGGTCTCCACGAAGGTCTCCCTGCAGGTCTCCACGCAGGAAAGAATCACAATGGCAACCATCTCCTGAACGAGAAGCCTCTAAATCCGAAGATGATGGGGGGAATCATATTTTCCAACACAGAAATTAAATCCTGGATGGCAAATGGACTAGAACTTGCATCACCTTCCAAAGAGGATAATGAAGCGTTTACATACAGAATGTCTAACGAGGACTTCGATACACTTACTCTTCCACCCATCGATCCGGTCGCAGATGTACCAGGGAATCTCAGCACAGCCTTCAGGAAAGCAACGAAGTTCCAGAGTCAGAGCGTCCCGCCATTCAACGCTAAGAAGTTCTCTCTTCACCACATGGAACACTTCACGAAGGCCCCAGAGATAGATGAGAACTACAAGATCATCAACGACTCCTGAGCCAGGAATTACAAAGTGGAAGACAAGAAGTTGGCACAACTAGATACAACTACCAGACTTACCTTCTTTGGACTAGCCAGGTCAAGAGCCATCAATGAAACCCTCATCGCGAAGTTTAGGAACTCGACCTCGGAAGAAGATAGAATGATCTACTCGGCATTACTAACACAGAAGAAAGATCATCAGTTCATGTCTGAACATCTGGCATCTTCATCAGCAGGAATGACACTGTGAAGAAGACAAGGATTACTATCTTCCTGTACGTGGAGTGAACGCTTCACCAAGTCACTATACAGAGCTCCGTGGTCAGCACCATCTATCTTCGCAGGGGAAATTGAGGACGTGGCCAAGGAAGTAACCAAAGAGTCAAGGGAGGTAATGATGATCAAGTCCATCGACACACTAGCTAGTGTTATCCGTCAGACCTTGCAATGCTACTCCGGCAAGTCGAAGTTCACAGGAATACAAAGAGCCAGGAAAAAGAAAATACGGCAGCTCCAGTGGAGGCAAGGATTCTTTTCGTCTCCCAGCTGGAGCTCCCAGAGGTAACCCCGGAAGAGGCAGGGCATCCAGAAGTGCCAGGAACTTTAGACACTGAAGAACGGGTTCGGAACGACTGGAGTCTTCCACCCCCAGCCGTTCCCATACAACCTTCAACAGTGGGTGAACGTCTACAACGCTACTGGAAGAATTGGGGAATTCTTCAGGACGACTACGTATCCCAGATCCTACTCAGAGGATACAAGATACAACTA